CCCCGGCGCGCCCCCCGCGACACCGCGGAGCAGGTGGCTACGTCACGGCAGCGCAGCGCCATGACGCAAGCACCACGCCCCCCACCGCCCTGAGGCACGCGCGCACGCGCCCTCCACGGCCCCGGCGTCGGAGTGACGGGCGCATGCGCGAAACTTCCCGCCCCACGCGCCGGGAGCCCCGCCCTGCCCAGCCGCCCGGGCGCATGCGCAGGGCGACGCCCGCCCCTCACCAGCCGTTACCGACGGCCTTAAGCGGCCTCCCGCTTCACGCTGACAAGAGACCCCTCAATTAAATGGAAATGCCGCTTCCACCATTTCGTAAAATGTTTATTGAGGATGGTAACACAGGATAAATCATGCAACAGCTCAGTAAAAAAAAAAAAAAAAAAAAAAGGAATCATTTAAAGGACAAAGAATGGTAACTGGTGCTGCTGATTTTGAAAAGTTTATAAAAAATATTATCCAAAAGTGACATCAAAAACCACTTGAAGCTGAACATGGATGTTGCTTATAAAGCATTAAAAAGAAAGTGTAGACATTATTTTAAATGATCATCTACAGACAACAACTTACGATCTCCCATTCCTACAGCTGCAGTGATAAAGCACGGCCGTACGTCCAAGATATTTAACCTTCTGTTCCTGAACGAAGAACACTTACAAACATTTGCCATTAAACAGCATAACCATAACTCTCAGTCACGACCTGCACTATCAAGTGCTTTTATTATTGGGATTACCTCCCCAAATACCACGGCAACACAGGACAGGGCACATCCTTGTGGCCACAACAGCGATTTCCTTTCTGTCCTCCTGCCATCAGCCCCTTTTAGAAGGGCAACAGGTAAAGAAGTGTGACTGTTCCCCTTCTGGCATGGACACACATTTTAAACAAGGAACTCCATGTCAGCAGAGGGCACAAAGACTGAGCACCAGCACATCACATCAAACATTGGTGGTTTCAGATTTAAGCTGACATATATTCACCTTTTGGAAAAAAAATAAATATAGTGGAATGAAAATTGAATCAAAAGGGAAAGAATAGATGACTACCATCCATCAGGAATGCACACATTTGTGCACTGAAAAAAAAAGCCATTTCAAAGAAATTCTTGAAAATTAAAACAAACAAAAAGAAGTTTGCACTTGTTCCTGGTCATTAACAATCTCAAAAATCTCACTTTTGGAACTATTCCAATTGAAACTATACACTGAATTTACTAATACAGTATACGTTTCTTTATGTAAAAAATCTTTATACATAGTAATAAAAAAGATAAAGGCAAGATGCATCAAACAGAAATCTGCTGGTTGTTTTTCCTCTGTTCTTAGAGAGTTGCTGATGACTACCTGCACTATAAACAGCTGTGTATCCAACTTTCTGTCTCAAGCATCTTCACCTTTGCTTGGGATAAGGATTGTTCTGTCCAAGCATCCAAAAGGACAGATGCTGGTGATGGTTTTTTTGGCACTTACGCTGGCAAACTGAGCTTCTTTCCCTTGAGTACTGTGAGGAAAAACAGAAAGAAAAAATTAGCAACACTGATGTTGGCTAGGAAAAGCACACAACTGGTAAAATCCCAAAGGGACTAGAACTTACCAAAATTTTGTAACTTTATTACAAGGAATGTCCTTGGTCTTTCCAAGCTTACCTCTCTCTGCTTTTGGCAAATAAAACTAGGCTGAAATAAACTGTTCTAATCCTGCCCTCTTGTGGCACCCTTAGAATCCAAAATGTCATAGCACACACCGGGCTGTGGCCATGGTTTCTTAGAGCTATGACTAAAATAATCCAGCCATGTATCTCTGTGGTTATATGATGGACGCTGGTATGCAAAGACGGGCAGAAATACCACTGGACCAAGCAGAAATGAGTGTGTTTACACTTGGCAGATACAGAAACATCCACCATCCTCTAGACTCTTACAAGAGTTAAAAAAAAATCTTCCTTGCAGTGTTTTAAGTGCTGAATCAGCAGTAACCTGAACACTGTCAGGGGAGGCATGAAGAACGTGTTTGTTGAACTGCAACATGTATCTAGCCACACTGCTGTTAACTGTGTCAATGAAGCCCATCGGAACATTTAAACACAATACCACCCACACTCAGAACAATCCTCAGAAGTCAGAAGCCCCCAGATTAGCAGGAAATATACTTGTTAAATCTATTGATGAGATTATAGCGATAACTCTCACAGAGAATTAACAGCAAGCCATATTTACAGAACAGATCCCCATGAATGTGCTAGTGGCTACATTCCCCAACGTGAAGCTGCAAGTTATTGCACTACTTACCTTTTGTAACATACAAATAGAAGAAGTCACAGTAAAGAATGGTCTGGACCACACCAGCAACAACAGCTATGAGGTCAAAAAATCCCTCAAAATAGTAGCGCCAAATCCAGTTGACCAAGTACAAGGCACGGTACAGACCCAAGAAGAAAAGATAGTGAGTAGTGATGGTCTCTGCTTCCCCAGTTTTGCTGATCATAAAAAGTTGAGGGAGAATAGCAACCGATTCAAGATAGATGGAGAAGGTCCACAAGATCTGAGAGGGGAAAACAAACAATCAAGTATCCTACTGATAAGTGAAACAAGGAATATATATGACTTGCTTTACAGACCCTAACGACTTTATGAAATGATCACTTGGGTTTTCCTATACCAAAGAAAATTTGTCAAAATTCATAATTTTGACATAACCCTGGGATACCATGAACTCTTCCCAGACAAGAGACTCTCAAAACCAGCTGCTTAGTAAGCTTGTAGATGTGGATTTACTGATGACAAATCTTAAGGCACATTCCTTGAATGAAATACAGCTCAGATTTGGTGCTGTGAAAAAGGTGCATGGAAAACAAAGCCCTTTTTCCATGTTCCATTTTTTTTTTTTTTAAATCAACAAATATAAAGCATGATTTAACATAGGACAAAATTTAAAGCAATATATCTAAGTTTTGTACTCAAAATTCCTGCATTCTTTAATAAAATAATCTAACTTGAATGAATAGAAAAATGCAGTTCAGTCTCCTCAAAGTAAATGCATAAAGTTATTTTCTGGTTTGTGGAAAACTTACCTTTTGGAACTCTCTGTAACTACATTTTTTCAGATCATTTTGACAGGAAAAAACATAGCTGCATTACAAATAAAGAATAGCTCCTTCAAATACTCTAGTCTATAATAATACAATACAAAATGCAAAAAAGATTATAATTTCTTTTGTTTTCACCAGATGGTGGCATCAGCTACTCATGAACTGCTATTGTTCTAACACATTTCTTTATCAAACATAAAAGGAATGATACTACCAAATTAATACAACAATGAAGATGTACTGGGAAAAGATACTCTGATTAATACTCAATGTTGACAATAAGTCTCTTTAGGTACCTTAAATCTTCAAGTCTACACCAAGAACATGCATAATACGATTAGCACAAATCTACTACATATACATTTTAGAAATTCTTCTCACTTAGTCTAGCAATATTTTTCTTCATGCTCTATGTATTTTAGCCACAAAAATGTAAAGCACCTCCCCCCTGCCCCACACACACTCTTACAACCAGCTCACCTCCAGAGGAGAGAAGTCATGATTGACAAGAAATGAGAGCCCACCAACAGGAACTACCAAAAACTCCACTCTGAATGTATCATGGTTTCCATCATAAGTAGCCTTAAATTTCATGTAGATCAGATATACAGTGGCATACGAGCAAGCAATGTAGATAAGCTACAGAATGGGGAGCAAAAAACAAAACACCACAAGGTACAGGGTTAGATGAAATTCACCACAAGATATATTCTCCCAGACACTAGGAAGAATCAATTTTATCCATTTTAGTAGTTTGCATTCACTGTTTGTTAACATGTTTTTGCAGTTTCACACTACGTAGTAGTATTTAGCTTTTTTTTCAGCAGTTTTTTTTTTCATCAAAACCAATGACTCTTGGCTCCACCAGTTTTGTTGCTTTAAAAATAACACATATTCTTGGCTCTGCTTGCAGGTGACAGCCAATATTTTCCTGAGACCTCCTTTCTTAAACAAGCAGAACTGAGCGACTGACTAGAGAAGGAAGATCCCTTCTGCTACTGCATAGGAAGCACTGCCCAAACCATTCCAGCTAAAGAACGCACACCTGCACACAGACCGTAGTAAAAAGGGTCTTCTACATTAAAAACCTTGGGGATGGTTTAGCTCATGCAGCAGTTATGATCAATCCAAAAAGCCCTACTGAGACTCAATCACAAATTATAAAATTGTATAATGTATACAATATATAGTTATATTGTATAATGACTATACATTGCATTGACAGAAATGTAGCCCATACTCAGACAGATGCTATCAAAAAGCAACTGCAAGATGCAGAATGCTACGAACAAAGTCTACATATCAATAAGAAAGGCATATAGTGCCAGCCTGCCTATTTCTGTATATAAACTTGGAGCACAGAAGCAGTTAGTACTTTCCTCAATATCTGTTCATCATTGCCAAACATGCAGCTCAAGCTGGCATCTGCAGTTTAATTAAAATCTCACTAAAAACAGCAAAAGAACTGACTTTACAACTTCTCTGCCATTGATTACAACGTTTTTCTCAGATGAGAGAGGGCACTTTTTAAGCAGTTTTGTCTTGGTACTACAATAATGCACACAATAACTAACATAGCATCTTTGAGCAGAAACCTTTGAAACTTACAGTGGTTCCTATTTTTCATATTAATAACAGATGTGAACAGAGGATCACTCATTCTAGAGGCTCAGTTCAATCATATCACATGTGTGATTTCCCACATGCATTTCTCTTCTGGACACAGGGAGGTTTGCCCTTCAGAACAAAACACAACCCTGTTCTTGTTGTGACAAATTGTGACAACCCCAAATCATGTAATCGACCTGCAAAGAAATAACTACTCCCTTAGTGCACCCAATACTAGCTTTCAACATTTGCAAGAAGCTCATAGAATAAAAAGCTTTTATTTCAGGAACATTTTATTCAAACCACAATGTTTCATCTAGACTCACGTTACTAATAAAAGATAATCACACATATACTTATTAGAAGCAAGTCTTGAGTGTGAGACCTAAAATATCTTATAATAATAATACTAATACTAATTAGATAATGATCTTCCTAATTCTTCAATACTTTCCAAATTATTGACTGACTAGTTTTTTGTTCTTGGTGAGGCTGCATTATCCTCTGAATACAAGAGCATCAAATAAATCCAAGAATAAAGGAAGTAGATTTGAGGTGGGAATTCTGATGACACAGATGCCAAAGATCCTGCATTCTCCCAGTTGGTCACTCAATTTTCTTGCTGTACTTAATGACAGATACAAGCAGAGATAAATAAAACTAACAGATTTGGCCTAACAGGTAAGTGAAGGGAAATTTAGTTGAAGCTACAGTTCTGAAGTGTACTCCTAAGCGCACACTCTTCACTAGGTCTGGTTACTCATTTTGAGAAGTGGTTTATCTTACAGTGTATAGAAAGAGATATTCCTAAGCTCTAATGCTCAGGTGAGAAGGGTAATTTATTAAAAAGCCTTTAGAACCAGAATGACATGTGTTCTAAGTGCCACATTCCCCATATAAACAACTTTTAAAAACACAGAGTGCAGAAAACATGGGGTGGTGAGTCTGTTTCCCCACATTCTTTATCCAAAACCATTCTAAAACTTCTTATGCATTACCTACACAGTGGGTCATTAAAAGAAGCTTTGATTAATGAAATTATGAACTCTGCATGCAACATTACCAGCTTTTCTAACTCTTCAGGATACTCTACCTTCATAGATGTGTTATACAATGAAATGAATGAAGTGAAGAGGTCCAGATACCGGGTAGTGAAGACCAGTGCAAACAGAAGCTGGCTTTTCCCAGAAATACCTAAAGCAATAAAGGAAATAATTATACAAAAAGTGATGATATTTTTAAAAAACACTCAATGCTGAAGATAAGAGCTTATTTCTAAACAAGATGACTATGCAATTAGGACAAAAATCTAGGTTTCCCAGAATTAAGCTATTCAAACAGAGATGTAAGTCCATAAAGTTTGGTTCTGAGAACATAGGGTACTTATACCATTCAATTAGAAAAGACACTAGCATAACACGAGATTTAGAAGTTATTCAGTCACAGCAGATAGCTTGCTGATGATATTTTTGGAGATCACCCTCTGTTCTGCATTGTCACCAGGCACTATGCAGCAAGGCTGGTCTGCTTTCCACTCCCAGAGTGCCGTCATGTGCCTCAGTACATTCTCCCAGTGCTGAATAGCTAGAAAGGTACAAGGGCAACAGACAACATAAATCCCAGCAATATTCAGATGTTTGCACCAAGAACAAATTTTAAAGTAATTGAATGATCTTAATAGCAGAATGCATTTCAATTTTGAGATTTAATTGCCAATCTGGTAGAAAAAATAAGTTCTATCAAGCATTTAAAGAGAGATGTAAAATAATAACAACAAAACAAGTAGAAGAGACAGCTAAAATGACAAATGCCTACATTTCATTGCCAACCTAACTTTTGATTTTTGGCCAAAGCCGTGACATCAACAGTGTGTTCGTACTTATCTTCAGCCATTAAAGCAAAGTTTCTGAAGTTGGCGATACCGTTAACAACTATATCAAATGTTAAACACTGCCCCGAAGCTTTGCACAGTAGAGATTTGAGTTGCTTATAACTTCTGAAGAGTCAGATGAAGCACCCTTCCACACAACTGACCTGTGTAGTTCAAGACGGAGACAAAACCACCCAGCTTAATGCCTCTATCTTGTTATCCCAATTACTCTTGTTCTCAGTCACCCAGTTTAAAAACAGTTCAATCCATTTAGCTAAGCTGTTCAAAAGCAAACAAGAAAGGGAAAGTAGAAGCATTCAATGGGAAAGTGTTACGATGCAAGCTTGAAAATCCTCACCCCCTTTATAGCGAGGTATTTCTGAAAAAGGCTTTTATCAAAGCAGCATAAATTAATTAGAAGATAAATACTATGGTGAACTCCTTTTTCATTTAGGCTTAGGAAACACTGAATTTGCTGTCCCAAATAAAAGGACTTGACATTTATATAGAGAGTACAGAAATGGACAAAACTTAAAAGTTTTTGTATGCAGCTTTCACATATGAAATGTTTACTAGATGAGTCTCATGCACTACCTACAGAAGAAGCCAACTGTCAATAAATGACTGTAGCACAGTGAACAGCAAATGCCTCAAAACCTAGTTTTTCATGCTGCAAAACTATACAACAAAAGCTTAAAGCATTTCAGAAAATTTCCAAACTCTAGGAAAAAAAAGGTGCTTAGCACTTCCTGAAATAAAAGAGCACTGCAAGGAGAGCTGAAGCAGTGCTCTCGACAGTAGCCCAGGTACGCTCACTGGCATTACAGCTCAAGACAGCCCTGCTCTCAGGCCAACACGTCATTGCAGCAAGCAACATTGTCCTGAGGTCAGGCCCTGCAAGACACAGAAATCCACCTAGCTACACTGCTGCACAGCATCAGGACCACAGGGCTTGTTAAGCTGAATTATTTAGCATGCTATTTGCTTTTAGCAAATAAATGCAAACAACAACAAAAACATACAAAATACATTAATTATTAATCACAGCTATACATTTGGACTTGGATGTATTGTCATTTACAAATATAATCACTTGACAATTGCTCAAAGGAATTGCCAGCCTCCTTTCTCAAGATCAAAATATTGCAATTTTTATTAAGATTTTCTTTGAACTTTGAATCTTTAGAATAGTCAAGTGATCCTGAAGACATTTTAGAATCAAGTTCGAAGTAATTTTCAACTTAACCAGAACAGAGTAGAGGTTAGAGATTATATTGAAGGTTAGACCAAAAAACCTATGGGAGAAGGAAGTTCTGTACACTGCAAACATCAGAGACAGGAAACATGCAAGTGCTTTGTCAAACGATTTTGAAACTTCAATGAGGCTATCAATATACCTGCCATGGTGGTGCCTTTGACTCTTGGTTGGCAACTTCAAAAACAAAGCCTACACTGGAGCTATTCTCCTCCTCCCTCTCCTTTTACTCCTGAAATCATTGCTTAGTTCTTGAACTATTTTTGTCTCCTCTCTCTTAGTTCGGGGCTTAAATTTCTAGGAGTCAAACTTGCCGTTTTCCTCTCAAACAAAAAACTTTTGCTCTCTGGATTAACCAAAAGCAGTAGTGTAAAATGCTACAACCCAAAAGCTTAGGTGATTTTTACAGACTGGGAAGACAACAGAGCATTCTGGTCTAGTTCAGTTTGCTATGGTGATTTAGATAAAGCACGATGGCAGCAGCACTCAGGCAGCTTGGCTGCGGAGCCCGGGTACTACTCAGCTAACTACAAACTGCACATCACTGCAGACTAAAGCTTTCCATAATACTGCCATTGAAACCTCATGGACTTTTTAGAAATATTTAATAACAAGCTAGTCTGCTTAGCATGAAGACTAAGTTGGTCACAGACCTCAGCTTCTTTGGTTCTACTAACATAAGCCTACTAATGTTTAAAAAAATAAGTCCAAACCCACCTAAAGGCAGCATTTTTTGAGAAACTACAATCAAGCTACAGTCTGTGCCAAAGTACTGTGTGAAGTCTTCAGTGTGACATCTGATCTGGTCTATAGTAGGTAGATAAACAAAATTATGAGAGATAGCAACACTTAACAAAAGCATTACACATTGGCCATCTGACCTAGCTCTTCAGAGTAGTCAGCATATACCTACTCCTGGCATATAGCCTTGCACATCACCTTTAACACTTGACAAATGCCACTGAGAAAAATCAAATCAATTTTCAGACAGTAATTTGCTGTGCAATCCAATTTGAGTTAGAATGTATTAGAAAATACAGTCAGAACATATGAATAAATGAATATATGAAGATATGAAAACACAGGATTTTTCAAGTCATATGAACATTGTCCTTGTAACTTACAAAATCAATAGCTGAGTTACCTGCAACATCCTCTACAATTCCCAATAATTATTTCTGAGCTGCTGTTTGGAGTGGCAACCATTTTTCCCCCATATTCTTAATCTGGAAACTCAAATAACCAGTCACACAAAAAATTAACCCCTTGCCAGGTTTTAACAGAACATCATTACTTGATTCATTTTCCTCTTGCTCCCTTTTTTAACATATTGACTAAATTAGTGGAAAAAATGTAGAATAAATTTGTCAAACACTGAAAACACAAACTGTTTCACAATGCAGATTTTCCTATCCTCACCTCTTCTTCTCAGTTACAGAAGTCAGTTCCTAGGAAAGGAAAGGAGAGCTGGTGCATCTTTTCTGGAAGCAGTAGGTTGCAGCAGAGGTATACAGACTGTCTCCCTCTTGTTTCCAGCTGCTTTTACAGGCCTCCTAGCTCCTCTTTAAACAAAGGCCTCAGACACACACACACACACAGATGCAGCTACAAGAGAGGAGTCAACACCATGGAGCTTGCCAGCTCTTCATGGATCACAGACTACAGTTTAGCAATCACTCAGAAGCTTTTATTTGTTTTCTAAGCTTACACTGCTTCAAAATTGCACAGCTAAACCAGCTGGTTTGCCCATATGCATCCTTAGTCCAGAACAACCATGAGGTATACATTTATAAACATTATAAACTGCTCTAATAACGATGTAATCTTAAAGAATTATATAAGCCCCTCTAATAAGAGGCATTTAGTAGCTGCTGCACATTAACTTGTAACTACTAAAGGTTTGTTGTCATAAAAGTCTCAATAGGCATATTTTGTGTGAATATATTGAGTTTCTAGTAGTAGAAACTGGCAACAACAAACTACTACAAGGAACAGGAGGAAGCTCCCAAAATAAAATCCTAGGCTCCTTTTGAAGTGCTGATCTTATTCTAGCCAGACTTGCTGCCTCAGATACCAAAAGGAAAATCAGGCAGAACTAGAAAACACCAAAAAATAATCCCACAAATGAATCCCATTTCTGTTTTTTCCCCCCAAGGAAATAAATGAAGATGACATTTGCCACTGAAATAGCATGTGCATGTCTATCTTCTAGCAGAAGCTGGCTAATCTGGTAATGGGAAGTCTCACAGGCCCTGTGTAACATTTGCTTCTTTGTGTTGGAAAATGCAGTACTAAAGATACTGATTGTCATGATTCTTCCTTGTTACAAGTCAGTCTCTAGCAACAGTCTTAGTCTTATGTGACTTAATGAAAACATCAGGTCACTTCTCAAGTGGAAAGATGGGACTAGGTACATTATCACATTGCACTAAACTACGTAAATAACCTCATGTACAAGGGTCACTTGGGAATCTCCTCACTAAAACCCCACTATGAATTTTAACCTTGCATGACAATTTCTCTTTTTCTTTCTTCAGACAGGAAGAAATATTTCACAGATCAGTAACTACTTTGCTGTTTATAATCTTGACAGCATTTCTTGAGGAAGGGGGAAGAACAAGCACAAGACCCACACAGAGCCTGAGTCAGGAAAGATCGCTGGGGAGGAGCTTCTTGGACTTCATAACCCCAGAAGCAATAGTTCTTAACTGCTACTGGATTTGAGTTGTGGAGCCATTTGTTTGAAGCCTTTTATAAAGATAAAAAATACATATACAATAAACATGGTTCTCAATCACAGCTACTCGTTTACTATACTGTTTCTTCTGCACTATCAAACAATCTGCAAAACATGACTTGAGAGGAAAATACAGAATCTGCACCTCTTCTTACCTGAAGCTGAAATCTCACCTCCCCATTCTTATTCTTTCTAGGATGCAGTTTAAACTAATTCCTCGCTTACAATCTTAATAAAACATTTTGCAGATAGATCTTTCAACCTGGTACACTTAGTTTTTCGGTAGTTTTTCATGTCAACACATGGCTAACTATGGCTCGGAGGGGTTCCTTA